CAGCAGCTTTTAAGCGCTACAAATTCGCAAACGCTGGCAGAAATTGTACCGATGGCTCTCGTTTGAGTTCACACTCTTGTGCAAGCCGATTGCGAATGTTTGTAATTTGCTGCAAGCATTGTGTCCAGTGAGTGGCAAATCTAGTGTCAAGACCTCCAAAGTCTCGCCACCCGTGCGCATGGTGCATCATCATCAAAAGATATTTTAGCTCACGAATGCGTTCCGGCGGCAAAACTCAAGGCCTTAAATCTTGTCTGTCCACATCCGGAAAAGCCACTACTCATAGGAGACTTTCGGTCAAATTAACGGTCCTCTGAGCTCATTAAACATATTCGAGTTATAAACCTCCTCCCAGGAAAGACCAGTCTGAAGAAGTGACCGGTTTTGGTCAATGATTTAAAGCTATTTCCTTCGAGGTGACAAGTGTGTGGGCATTTTTTCTCAAATGAGGTTGGACGTTGAAAGACATAATTTTTGGTTAATGTATCAAGTGGGCCTCGTGGAGCAAGGAAGCGTAATTGTTGTTTTAACTATAAACACCGTCTTTACGGGTTCACCTATGACAGTGTTCTTTAATACGCGGACTCCCAGAGGATCCAACCATTTAAAGAACCCACAAGAGACTCACTGTAAGTGATCCCATCGCAGGATGGATTTTAAAGAGAAGACAACTGTAATGCTTGTGTGACAAGTGAATGAAGTCCCGTTATTACCCTCCAGTCAAACAGAAAAAATTGTGCTACATTGACACTGCTGTTTGGGCGTTCAATTAGCGTAGAAACCCGGAAATTTTGCACTGGCTTTTTGGTTTGACGTTTTATGTAATGGAGCCGATGAGTGACACTTTGGTAATGTATAGTTGCGATTTGCCGTATGCGCCTGTGCTTTTCGAGACGATTTCCAAGTGGGTATATGCGGACCAGGCATGGTCGAACCCATTCGGCAGCACGGTTCTGAATTAGTTTGAAAACCATTCGGTAGCCTCCGACTCACTCTGACTAATTATTATCAATGTATACGTGACTCTTCTGGAACAGCCTTAAATCATTCCAAGCACCCCGAGCGGTGCGCAGTCAGTCCCTAACTCTACGGGGTGCTGCACCATTTTAAACAAATGTCCATATATTTCATTGGGAAATCTGCCAAGCAGTAGACAGTTGCGTATACAGAGAGGTGGCCAACCCTTGACTTGGCGGATGAATATCAAGGAAATCACGACTCGCTTGTGTGCTCTTGGTGCTTCTCGCCTTTCAGGATGTGACCGCATGATCCTCACTGTGCCTGGTTGGAGACACTACAAGATATGCCTGCCAACCGATGTCAGTGGCGTTCTTGTCAGTTTCTATCCAGATTGTCTGAGTGAATGTCTGGAGGTGTGGGCACCCCGGAATGATTGTGGTAATCTAGCAATAAGTCCCTTCCCCGTCCAACCTTACTCTTTTCTGTGCAAGAAGACTTTCTAATAACTCATGGTTGTACGGCAACGAAGCATCGGTGTTGAACACTGATTTCATGCTGTTAATGATAATGATGATGAATTTACGGAAGATTATTAACGTCTGTTGAGTTGTTTAAAAAGGTCTAAAATTCCAAGTTCTTATTTCGCAGATAATGTTGAATTTCGTGACCACAGGATAGCTTATCCTGGCCGACAATAAAGTGTGGCACATAACAAACATGAATTTTTTAGACGTGCTAGATAGCCGTCCCGGAACGTGCATGTGATATTTCGTGCACTATTCCAAAACACAGTGATACTATACTTGACAGTGTGGTATTTCGTCTAATGGATTGCTCACTCGTCCTTGATATTTTAGCGCTGCTCTTATTTACTCTTGATAAGTGCCGTCTGTGTTGGGATTCGCTAACTTGAGGTGTGTTTGTTTGGAAATAAATGCTCCTTCATTTCTGTGTTATTTCTGACTATTTCTTTTCCAAAGTTTACACCTTGCCATTTAATTGCTTTGTGGTTTTTTTTATTCTCTGTTCCACTGCGTGTTTTAGCATTCATATCAAGAACAAATATCCTACACTAAGGTTCTTATTTCCCGTTGTGGATCAAAAAGCTTCGTCACAACTCGTCTTTAGCTTGTGCTGTGGTTTCTTCTACGTTTTAGGCTTTTGGCATGCATGTCATTTGGTTTTTCCTACCCAAGTCTAAACAGCGTTTTTTTCAGTGGTCATATACTCCAATATCTCAAATTTGATAAATTAACAAGGAATCGCCCTATATTTACTATCCGCGCAGCCATTAGTCATTAGCATCTTTTGCCCAAGAGTAATTTTCATCAGCATCACAAAGATTATCATATCAAATGAGCTAGGATTGTTTCAGCGTTCTCTTGCAGTTGAGTTGAAACTCTTTTGAATTACAAGTGAGAAGCTAAAAAGGGACCTGACTTGTTTTTTTTGAACGAAGTCATTCTGTGTTCACCACCACTGTCCCATCACATGATGGCTTCGTTTTGTCAGTATCATTATAAAAGCCCACTCTTGGAGACATAATTGATATAACATTTTAACCTTTTTGCCATCCAGCCCTATTCCTAAGGACAGTGTACCTCGGGAACGTTTACCACTCCGAGACAGAGTTCTGTTCAAGGAAGCCACCGATCACACGCGAGTTCGGCCTGTGACGTTCCATGTGCCTCACACGTAAGAAAAACATTTACGGGTTTGATACAAAGCAAGACTATAAACGTTTTTATGTTTAACAGCTGAAGGTGCATGCACATGAACGCAATATGTAAATGATTACAGTTGCCTAACTTGTTTAAAATGTAGAATAGACAGCTTCTAAAGACTCCCACTCGGCCAAATTTGGCAAGCAACAATATTTTTGATGCTTCAAAGAGTGGTGTGATCTAAAGAGTTTTTTCAAAGTGTGTTGATATCGAGCCAACAACGTCAGGGTTTCACTCATCCCTAGGAGCTCCCGTGACTTGGTCACGGTAAAACAAAATAGTAGTCAGCTGTTTACTGGTTGCGCATGTCTTTGCCTGAGGAGAATACCATTGTTTTTTTACAAGACAGGGTTTCTTGAAAGGAAGAATTAAGCAGTAAACTAGGATTGTTAAAAGGGGGACCTGAACCTCGGTTGGCGAAATACAAGTTCACAATTTCATTCACTAGGCCAGGTTGAATAAAGTCAGAGAAAATCCAAAGGTGATGACACTGTAAGAACTCTCCTACAACACTGCTTCGTTCAAATCGATTTGTGATGCACAGCGAATACCGAACTAGCTATCGACATTGAGGAGAATGAGTTTGTCCTTGGCAAGACAATCTTATTTTTATGTTGAGGTTGCTCCATGAACGAAGGAATCTGATGGTTTGACGACAGTTTTGAAGTACTTATTCTATTACGTTGATTATCAACCCATATGGACTTTGGCATTATTCATTTCATTTCAGAGGTCTTAAAACTATCTATCAAGCTGATTTTGATCAGCCTTCAAGTGTCCTTCGAACAGAAGACCGTTTGTGCCCGGTCGAAACGCCCTTTGTTCTTCCAGGTAAAAAAGGTTTTCCACATTTTTGGTACTTTTACGCACGAATTTCACGATTGCTCAAAGGCCTGGTGTTATAGACATCCAAGGTTTTGTGTTAAAAAAACCATTAATGTCCATCGACCTGGGTGCTATCGAAATTGCGATGACAGGGAACTCATTCCTCTAAGTGATTAATGGAAATATTATGGTTACTGCTCTGAAGAGAGCGGCTAGAAACGATCTCTTGAGAGTGGTCTCTTCAGGAAAAAATATAGATTTGCTGTGTGCAAAACATTGGTGATGCAGTCAGAAAAGAACCCATTTATGCAGTTGCCTGAGTACACAGCAGTTTATCACACTACATAAGTTAAAAAGTTTTTCTGAGAGGTGCGTCACGCCGTTATCGACATCAGCGGAAACTTGGTAGCATAAGGCAACGAATGCCTCAGTAGTGGTGGTTCTCACCCAATTTCGCGAATACTGGTAACGATACAGATAATACCTAACCGGCATCTTGTGAGAGGGGCAGACCCTCTAGGCACAATAAACGGCCACGGTGCTGAAGTTAACTAACAATAAGCAAATGTTATCTATATCATACTTTGTCAAGTGGGTTAACCGAAACAATTTGCCTACTTAACGCATTGCACAGTGCCAAGTACTCATTCGCAGTGAAAGTAAAGTGTGGCATGGTATATGATGAGATTGGGCACCCCAAACGGAACTCCGCAAGAACATGGAGAAAAGCAACAGTTCGTCTTATGGGGAAATATGTACCTCCGGGTGAGGAGTTGATAAGTGGCTGTTTTCAGTAGATAAAAACACAAAATGTACTACCACATGAGGTTACCCTGGAACAACTGGCACGAAGGTGTATCTGAGATTGATATTCTTGAAACCAAGGCTTTCTGCCATGTTGATATTGGCTGCTTCCCTTGGGGAGGAAAAATCCGACCATTTTTGTCGTGTTCTTCGAGGCGTTCTTTACAGAAGGAGAAAGCATCATGAAGAAACGCAACCATACCATACACACTCCTTTCTCTTTCAGATCCAGACTTGAAATCCACATTCGCCACGCCGATGATGTACGAAACGGAGTACTCGACGATCGGGCAATGCAAACGAAATCTGTTATGACCAGAAACCCACTACACTTGACCTTCGGTTACCTGAATGATTTACTAAAGATCTCCTTATTCCCATTCAGCTCTGCGACGTAGATGTCATATGTCTCAAGATTAAACCTAGCTCATCATTGATTTTTCCTTGCCCACTCACCTGTCCATCCTACACTTTGAACTGTAACATAGATGGGTCTCCCAGTTTACCAGAGGAACAAAATAGGCAGTAAGTGTCAAGGCTGATTTTATCTGCCTTTCAAGTAGAGTTAAGCACATATCCAATTAACATGCTTTAAGAGTAAGTTGTCAAAGGGAAAAGAAGACAATATTTACACAGTTAAGTGTGAAACAACGATAAAAACTCTTAATTAATGATGAATTAAAAAACATGGATCGGGAAGCGAGTACGATTAAAACTCTACGATGTGGAATTTCCGCGCACGAAATTCTCGGTTCCACAGTTGGGATGGAACCATCTGTTACAGTGGTAAGGGCCTTTACCAATCAACCCAGTCGATCCTGTAACCGCCGTCACCCTGGACGGAGATCCCGGGGTTAGAGAAACCAGTCGTCATAAACATTGACATGTATAACTTTCACCCCGCTAATAGCGTTCTTGCATCGGGATTATCGCCTCCACTAGGTATTTCTCATCTCCTAAAATAGTGAACAAACAGAACTGGAAATGGTCCAATCGCGCAGTCAGAGGCGCCCGTGTATTAAAGTTATTGCCTTCAGTGCGTGGCTACTCAATTTACGGACAAATTGAATATGACTTCGTCTCAAAGGCTTGGTTCTATGTTGCAATGTCCCGCTTTCCGGTGATCGAAAGTGTGGCAACTGGAACCAATGTGCACATGGCACACGGTTTATAGCTGCTAAATTGAATTGACCTAAATGAACTGATTGGGCCATCGCTTCCGAAGCGTGGCTCTCACACTCTAATTCTCCTTATCTTCGGTGAACGAAGCTTCAGCAACTGGGACCACTGCATTTCAGTGCATGGTTTGTGAGCTGAAATACTGATCGACTATCGTTTCTGGTTGTTTTGTATTAAAGTATTGCCTTCAGTGCGTGGCTACTCAATTTACGGACAAATTGAATATGACTTCGTCTCAAAGGCTTGGTTCTATGTTGCAATGTCCCGCTTTCCGGTGATCGAAAGTGTGGCAACTGGAACCAATGTGCACATGGCACACGGTTTATAGCTGCTAAATTGAATTGACCTAAATGAACTGATTGGGCCATCGCTTCCGAAGCGTGGCTCTCACACTCTAATTCTCCTTATCTTCGGTGAACGAAGCTTCAGCAACTGGGACCACTGCATTTCAGTGCATGGTTTGTGAGCTGAAATACTGATCGACTATCGTTTCTGGTTGTTTAAAGCGAACATTAGTTTGCCGGTTGTACGTTGAATATTATACCGGACTGATTTAACTTAACGGAAAAAAACGGTAAACAAGAAATCGCAACCAGCAAGCCTGCTTCTTGCGACATATTCAAAGTTCAACGTAATGATTTTCATAACCAATTTTACGATAAAACCGATTGGCGAACGGGCAGAAGACAGTGTGAGGCTTGGAAGAAAAGGAGAAAAGCTCCCCTACAAAGATGCCTAAAACCACAGTGAGTTAAGTGATCGAGTGATACTTCGGATGACTGAATAGTGATTTCTATTGCATGTATTTAAAATTTAAATTAGCTCCGACCAGCAATTCCGCCATGAAACCATTTTTTAGTCCAACCGGTCATCTCACTTTCAAACGCTCCCCTCTCGAAAACGTTGTATTTCCGTTTCCAATGAGTAAAAGGTAATGAGTTGTTAACAATAATGTGATAACTGGTGAGAGAAGCTCGAGACATTGGCTTTCTTGCCTTACTGATGAAGAACTTGGTTACCTTTCTCATATACATGGACAACTTGAGCAGCTAGACCAGTTGAACTGAAGCTAACTCGTTCAGGGTGATTTTTCAGCCATTCCATGTTTCTATCATGTACTTTTATGTCGCACACTACGTTACCCTTGCTACCATTTTGATCGTCTTCAATGGCGTATGCATCTGGGACAACTATTATACATGATATGACTTCCGGAAAATTGGTCAAAAGTCCACTCCCATATACATTTCGTTAGAAGCCATTCTTGAAGAGGTTCGAAAATGTTGCACTCATATCCGTCATATATAGTATCCCTCAGAAAATCCAAAATCAACTAAACACCAGGTTCTGCTAAATTTGGTGGCCTTCTGGTCGTTGGTTTGTTCGCTAAGCTGGACAATTTCATTACAGACGTTTCACCACCAATCGAGGTAGCACAATCAGTGCGTCGATAAAAAGCGTAGTGGTGCGTAGCGAGAGGTTGATGGTTGTGCCTCTGGTGGCCTTCTGGCGAATTTGACTTATGGCCGCAGCAGTAACCTCATTTTAAATGAAATTGCACCAAACCCACAAGCTTGGCTGAAGGTACTTTGGAGTGCTTTTAAAGTCTCTTGACTATATAACACCGTACAGTTGAGAATTATTTGCGGTTTTACGTGAAAACTGTGGAATTGTTGAAATGATTCTTTGGATAGATGTGAAAGTGTCCCAATACGGTTCGTGGCTCCGTGACGCACTCTGAGGTCACAGTTACTCTACGAACGTGTTTGGTGCTCTACAGAAAACCCTCCAGAAAGAGATAACCTTAACAGATAACCATTTTTTGGGGGGTGAGGACCATTGGTGCGGACTTAGTTTGCAGCCAATCTCAAACATTTCGAGCGAAACCACTCAGGCTGAAATACACTTCCTTTTGTTCGTCACGCTATTGGGGGATCAAATGCACGAGGTCAAGTAAATATTAGTAAATCAACCAGTACGTACTAGTTGGCTCGTGTGAGATGTTGGCTCCAAATCAGATAAGCGGATAACCAGCGCGGTACTGAAGGGCACACTGTCGTTTGCGAACTGCAGTTGCGCTTGAGGGATACTGGGTTGAATCTACTGCATCCGGCGTTTTGTAAGCGAATGCGCAGCATTAAAGTCTCCTCAGGATTTATTTAGACCGATATTTGAGATATCGAGGTATACTGATCGTATGGTATCACTTCACCAAGCTCCCTGCCTGTAAGTGGGGATTCACTTCATAAGTGTTCAATGTGATGTAAAAATGTAAAATAACGTGGTGAAAATTTGGGAACTACACCCTGGCAGTGAGAGCAATGGGCTGTCAGGAAGTTCTTATAATTACTGTTGTATGATGACGGTCATATACAAGTGCAGCTTCCCAAGCTAGGTTGCATTTCTTTGTTCTGAGGGGATGACACCAAGTGCAGAAATAATTGATTGCGTAATGAAACACACTCATCCGCGAACCAATTTGGTTTTGCGGGAGACTTACCAGCTACCCAGATAAACCTCGGTTAATAGTCTTAAGCAACTGAACGTGCTGCACCAAGCCGCTTCATGCTTAAATTTGTACGATACTTGGGAAATCGTAATACAAGTATGGACGTAATACACTACTCATAAGGTCGTTGAAAATTCTTCGACAGCCCACGACCGGTTTCGCTCTTCTTGGGGCCCATCAGGTAGGCGTAGTCCCCAATTTTCAATCAACTTTATGTTCTACTTGCTCGTTCTACATCCCGTGATGCGTTTCATGTCGTGTTCAACAAAGAACCAGATTCTCAAACTTTACAAAACCTTTCCCGACGTTCATTCGGAGTAAAGATATTTTGGAGCGTCTTCAACTTAGTCGAAGCGCATCCTGGGAATCGTCTTCCACCGGCTGTTTCCTTTGTCAGGGAAAACATCGTTCAGACCTCATGGTGACTGATATCAGATACCAACCAAACGGAGGTAGTTGTTACCATCTAAATCCAGGAACATTGTGTCCTACGCGAATACCGCAGATACCTCAGATATCTTGTGCTGCAACTGTATTGCCTTGTGCATACTAATTCCAAATTTTCGTTGAGGCATCAAGCTTTGATATCTGTTCTGCTCAATATAGGAACTACTGATGCCATCAAAAATAACTAACCAGCACAAAATCACCCCAAAAGTGGTTCTGGATGAGTCAGACCGTGCTCATATAGGGTTTAATAAACCTTGTTACCGTCATACCCTAGCACACTAAATAATCCTAAATTCTAACAGGATATCGGAGTGAGGAGAATATGGACGTGGAAACTGAAAAGTGATGAAAATATGCAAGTGGAATTAGTAAAAGTATCCAAGTATGCAGACGCAGCAGAATGTGGCCAATACCGATCCTTGTTGTCCGAGAATAAGATATTCGGCCGTTTCGGGGTGATAAGACTGACAAGTCATTTTATGATCTGGATAGTTTCTCCCAAGTGGAATCAAGGTAGACTGCTTTCGATATACTGGATGCAGATACCACACTTCAGGGTGAAATTATATCAGGCAGCGGTCAGGTTAAACTCCGGGTGATTACAATAGGGTCCGAGCAGTTATCCGCGGAATTTGCACAGCACACATAGAGCCCGACGTCATCTGGATTTAATCATGAAGCCAGTCTGAAAATACGATTCCGTTATTCAGGTAGTTTTAATAGCTAAGCCTCGTGGCCAATCTACTCATTGCGTCTCGTCGAATGACTCGGAAAATATATGAGTAGGCCAATTTTCGCATATTGATAATTGTTTCGTTGTGTCCATGACAAACGCATAGACAATAGTTCAACATTTAGTTTAGGTCAGTTAACAAGAACGAACAGGAACTGACGATCAGTATCTGTTATGTTCGTTAATAGAATGAATGGATTCCCGAAATGAGCGAATGAGTCTAACTCGTTCGTCAGAACTGGCTGAATGACTAGTAAGTCGTGGAAGTCTAGGGTGAATTGGTTCACTGTGTTACGGATCAAATATCCCCCTTACATGGTCCAAATAATGCAACTAAACAGGTTCACATTTCTCGTCGACCGGTTATCTATTCTGGAAGCATATTCAGCACAGAGTAACAGACTTAGTCCACGATTGATTAGGAAGTGACGTTAAAAGTCAATACTGGGATTCCTGGCATGTGAGTCTCGTAGCTCATTCTTCAAAGAGTTGAAGGTAACCTTTATCGTGCAAGTAACGTGAAGATATTCTCCACCTTGGCGATAACATGGAAAATGTATTAAATATGCATCAGTCAGCAGGGTCGACACAAGAATAAACCCAACCACCACTCGCGAGGCTCTTGGAAATTACCAACCCTTTCCTTCCAAATGAGACTTTGATCCCAAATTTTGAAGATAAAGAGACAAACCGCCTTCAGTATATTTAAATTTGTCCAGCAGTTTCACCTCTCATTGTTGACTTACTAGTTATTGTAACTCAAAACTATCTATATGGCTCGGTGTGCGTTTTTTAGAAGTATGTTTCACGGTGACGTCGAGTATCACAAACCAATGCTGAAAGCGTCATGTAGAAAAAGCCGCATCAAAACAAGAGATTTTTTATGTCGCAAGACGAATAGCAAGTTGGTGTTGAATAAAAACCGGGAATCCTATCGAATGTTACCAACTTGATTACTGTTTTCCCCTCCATCTATCATGACACTATCGAGTATAGACGTTTTCATGGGTTCGAAGTTCCGCGGGGGAACCAGGGTCCAATTTTCATATTTGGTTCGAATCAACCCCGTCTTCAGGGCATACTGCGTTCATCTACCGCTTACGTAGTCTAGACACACGACAGGGACGAGCGGTTTTTTTATCAGAGTGGTTGCAATCAGAGATAACCACAAACCCGACACCGTGACTGGCCGTAAACATAATAACTTGCTAAATGCGCGTAAAGGATTACTCTGTTCAGGGTACAAAAATTTGGTAGACATTTGGCCTCAAAACAAGCGGCGGATCGATCACGGGAGGAATCCCTTCCCTTCCCTTATTGTTTTTGTTCCCAGGAACATGCAGACTACATTTGAAAACCAACTTATTGGGAATAGGGTAGTACTTATTACCTAAAAGGCCTTTTAACTGAACTGGAGAAATTTAGTTGTAGTAGTAATTAACGAAACACCGATAACTTGGTCTTTCTACAGAGGACCAGATTTCCATTTCACACTGGTAACGGAGAAAGCTAAGTCATCTTGATCTGGTTCCTACAAACTTGTGGAATCCAGAAGTACGGAACTGCCTGCGACTGCGACATAGCACCAAATGAACTGATTGCACCCTCCAGATGAATTACACGCAGTATATCTTGCAAAACAAACTAAGTGAAAATGGGCTATCTAGCTGGCCCAACATCAGCGAATACGCTTCGAAGTTGGAGCAAACTCCTCCGACCCGAGTTCCCCAATAAATTCAGTTCACACTTATGCACAGTCACTTAGATCTTTCAACGAGAATGGCAACAGTTGCTAACACTTAAGACTTTATTTTTTCCTACAAATAATTGAATGGCCTAGCATGAGATGATTTCGTATAACCTATTTTACGGAAGCTAGCAGCAGAAAATACTCGAAATTCTTGATTAAGCAAATAGTTGAAGAACTTATTATTAGGAACGCTCCTAGTCCTTCGTAATCTCTGTATGTAACTCCCCGTGTTGATAAAACGCCAGCTAACTGCAAGTTCCCAGAGGTGAACTGCTTCACGGCGGGTTGCTTTAGCCTGTACGCGTAGCTGGCACTAGTGTCCACCCACGCACTGTTGCTGTGTTCACGGTCCCGTGTCTCACCATCGGTTTTCTTCCCTCACGCAGATGTACATCTAATCAGTTTAGTGACATGAACGACTGAGTTCGGGCACGATCGCCTGGTTCCAACCTCAATGCTCACATCACACCAGCGTGAAGGGTCACAGGATAGCCTGTCTCTGATGCTTCCACATAAAATTCAAGAAGGTACTACGTTCTTATGCACACCATGTATGCACCGAAAGTTTGGTCATGTATGACACCAGACAATACGCTCATCCACTTTCTCGGCAGAAGCGCGAACAGTTATGGGCGCAGCTCAAAGTGCTAGGGTATGCGAATCCTCGCTAATCGGTCATAGTAATCAAATCGTGATTTACGTGTCCGTTCGCGCACTGGCTAGCTGAATATTGAAGCCCATATAGACAACTCCAAGTTTACGTGCACTGATTTAACGACAGCTGCTAGTCTTTGCGACCAGCGTCTTGAAGTATTCAAGGTACGAACTACGCAGTTGCCTCATTTGACTGGTCAATTGATGGAACTCCAAGTTTTACGATGCCAAATACATGAACGTTGGGCTGACATCATTCATGCATGTAACTGTCAAAGCATCTGACAGGATAATTTTAGTGTTCACACAGTGTGAAACTGGTAGTGAACCTGAGGACATAGACTTCTGTTTGATACTATGTGCTGAGCATAAGATGCTTATTTTTGGATGTGTAACAGTTCACGATGGGTTGAGCGCAGATTGAGATATAACACAATGAAATGGTGAGAACCACTAGGTATGAAGAGTGACAAAAACATAAAACGGCGGAGAATTGGTGAAATTTATAATATAAACAAAAAAATTGTGTTAAGGTCTTCAAAGTGTTATTCACGGGCTAAAACGAGCCGACAGATTATGGGGTAGGAAAGTGAGCATTATTACTGATACGAGTGGATGGAATGTGAAAAATTCATACCGAAGGCCTTTACGGCCACTAGAGCGACTCGGGAACACAGAGTGCACGTTGACTAATGTTGACAAAATACTGATCGCATAAGTGAGGAACCAGAGGAATGCATGTGAAGTAGTTACACCATGGACAGTTAAGAACCGGACTGAGCCAAAATAAACAGAACATCATGACAGACAAAGCGAGAAAAGTGCAAAAGCAAACAACTTCAATCGGGATACGTAGTCTCCTTTTGTTTGGTTTGGGCTTGAGCCGACAACGACTGGGTAATCGAAGTCTCGAATATGGCAAAAATATAAAAGTCAACAAACAGCCAGCCACAAACCCGCCAAGGTGGGCAAAATTATCTAGCCATGGGAACAGTCCGAGCACGAAGACACCAATCGGATACAGCACGTTTTTTCGTAAGCGCTGCAGTGTTCGATGGCGCATTGGGGGGAAAACCGATGCCCTTCTAATGGTAGACAAGGAAGATCGCTCACTGTGTTGTTGGGGACGCGTCAACCGCTGACCCTCACAGTCATCCAAATCTCCTATGATATTGTACGACGGTCGTGTATGACGCCTACCTACACGTACAAAATAAGAAGAAAGGACATGCTAGCAAGCACGATATATTGACCAATAATTTGCTCAAGACAGTACTTGCAACACATAAATCAGCTTGAAATGGTAGGCTCTATAATAGTCCAGGCTGTGCCGTTCATATATATA